ATATATATGAGGCTCCTGGCATCTTGAGGCTCAATTCAGGAGCAAACCTTTATAGTTCACTTGTGATCACTGACACTCTGTAACAAAATCCAGAACAAAGTACCTGAAAGAAAGCAATGACAAGACATGCTGAGTCACAACAATGACACAGCACAATCTTGTTGAACCTGATTCTGCATTTGTGCAACACTGACTTGCCTTGTCACAGAGAACACATAATATACATTCAAAGATGCCTTCAGAAGGACTAAGTCACTCTGTGATCCCTGAGACTTACTCAGCTATTTCTACTTTATACTCCTGGGTTTCCAAGAAAATCTTCATGCCTGATACTAGATCAAGGGTGGGCAATTTAAATGATGGTAGGGGTTGTTTCATAAAGGATTATATGTGTGTGTATGTTTATTAAACCAACATACAGAGTAACTTCATTTCCTGTAGTRGTTTGGGGGACCCTGACATCACAGTGCTGCCAGTGACATCCAGGTCTAAATCTCTTACCCCTCCCAAGGCAGCACCCTGGCACAGTATTTCAACAAAACAGTACATGTTTTTGGACTGCTGCTGCACCACGTTGAGGTCCTCGGTCAGCAAGGTCCTCCATCTTTCCTCAATTAAACATGGGATTAGAGGTTGGAGGTCAACTTTCAAGCTGTTTAAGAAAGCAGTTTCTTGTCTTCAGACTTCAGAAGGATATACTAGCTTCAACCCAACACAGGTTAAACACAATTTTGTGTAAAATTCACAAGACTTGCCTTTTAATACTTCTTACTCCACTGATTGTCGTCGATGCAGGCTGAAAACTGAGACGTTGATAAAAATTCTCGTGTAGAACAGCAGATGCTTGTCTCTAAAGAGCAGCTGAAATGTGGTTTTGGGACAACGTTAGGTGTTCTTGGAAATGCAGTTCCCTCACCTGAGTGCAGTTTCTCCAATGTCTCTATGAAACYGGAGCTGACGCTCTCATATTACCACAGTACATTTAAAGACAACGTATTCTTGTTTAAAAACTTTTAAAAACCTTATAGTTTCTACAAAAAGCCTTTTTAAACTCAAATTTTCTTAGCATTTAATCTTCTCGTTTCTCTTCACTGAGACTACAGATCCAAAAATAAATATAATCCAGATGTAACAAACTGCTTTGGTTTAAAGAAACAACCAGGATATTCAGCACTAAATAAAGTAAAAGTGCTAATGCATACATTGTAACAGATTTCTGTAAATATTTTTTTTAGTTTCTTATTTTATAACATTTAAAATACTGTGGATTGATGTGGAAAAAACAATGCTTTACAAGTCCCACCATTATGCATTAGAAGCTTTTCGAATGAACTATGCTGTTCAAAAACCTTTCCCGAATGTTGTCATTCATCCTTCAAATAAACATTGAAACATACAACTCAATCAGAAATGGTGTTTTATGATTTTAGCACTTTATATTTTATGACTTTTACTAATTTTTGGCATGATAAAAAAAACTGATTGTTTTGTTTTATGATTCGAAATACGTTAAATGAAAAAAGAAAATTTCAACCTGGAAAGACTCACACAGAAATGCAGCAGTTAAACAGTTTTATTGATATGAGATATTTCTTTGGCGCTCGAGCCCCGGCAGAAGACGAGAGTGCAGCGAACTACTGTGAGCTAGCACTCAGCTTAGGATTTAGGAATAACGTCTTCCCTCCCCGGGGCTCGGACACTGGTGGTGGTGTGGAGGCCAGAGGGAAGGGGTAGCCAGGCAGGGTCTGAGATGAAGGTGGAGAAGGGGTGGAGGTGGGTTGAACGCTTCAGGAGAGCAGACTGATCTTATTCGTCTTCTTGTGTGGTGTTTTATGGCGGCTGGCAAACAACGGAAGGTGTGCATTACCGCCACCTACTGGTATGGAGTGTGGTTCATGATGGTTTCACTAATATTTATATACTACTACTATTATTGTATTTCTTTTTACATTTTCAAAGCTATCTATTAAAAGAAGAAAATAAATAAATAAACAAATAAACAAATAAAACAAAAAAACCTACTATCAAACTCAAATTCTGTTAAACAATTTTGTCTTTTTCAAAAATCGTGTCATGATTTGTTTATGTTTGCTCCCTAAATTCCTTTGTAATGTCTATTATGTCAAACCTTTCCTTAATGTTTTTGAATTGTTTTATCATAAATTGCCTATCGTGTTTGTACTTCTGACATTCTTTTATAACATGTTCTATGGTTTCATTGTGTCCACAGTAATRACATTTCTCTGTATTGTGTTTTTGTATTGCCAAGTGTATGTCCAAATCTGAACCTTGTCATCACTCTTTCCTCCTTTCTATTTCTTCTTTCTCCTACATTCTTTTGAATTTTATAAAACCATCTTCCTGTTTTTCCTTCATCCCACCTTTTTTGGCCATACTTTCATCAGCTTTTCTTTAACATTACTCTTACCTTCATATTTACTTGTTTTAACTGTAAAGCTAAAAGGATTTTGAACTGCCCTCTCATTTCCTTCTACTCCAYTATGTGCTGGAACCCACACAAATATAACTATCAAACCCATGTTTTGTATTCTGAATGAGCAGACTGATCCTTGGGTGCTGGGCCTGTAGACCTGGATCCCTGTGAGTTGATTGGTATGGTGAGGTGAGGATCTGATGCTGATTGACTGCAGCTGGGAGCGTGACGTAGTAATTGGATGGAGCAGGTGAGGTGGAGAGTCTTCCAGTCTGAATTTACGCCTAGGCTTCATTTATCCAAAATGCAGAAAATTGCACAGCTGAAAGCTGTTTTTTTATAATGGTCAGATCTCATATATAAAACACTGTAAAAGACTGTAAAGGAGTCCTTAGCTATTTGTGGCTCAAGAAAAATTTGTCTTCCTCCGTTGTTTGGCACTCACACGTGTGTGTTTACTATAGTGAGTATAATGGCTGCTATTGGCAGCAGATTGGAAATTTTTTTATTATCTGAAAGTAAAACCAGTAAAATATATTTAATGCATGTTACACACTAATAATACAACTAACATTGAACTTTAAAGTATGGTTCAAATGATGTCTTTGTGAACTACTAAAACTACATAGTCATCCTAAGTGTCTGTCAGCCTGTAGGTCAGAGCAAAATACAGAAACATTTCCCTGAATTGAGACGTGGAGGGTAATGCAAATTTAATCACTTAATCATCTTTTGTTACAACTTGAGTGGTTTTTATTTGTCCTCGCTCTGCGATTCCCAGAAATGTGCAGAGTGATGTCATGTCACACTGCACCCCCCTGCGCCACACTCGCCTTTCTGTGGTGTATAAATGGAGGCAGTCCTCACCACCATTCCTTACCAGCGAACAACACCTCGAGGAGTTCTTGCTTCAGCAGTGTTTGAACGGAACTTCTTCCTGTGCTTTGCGTTCCAGAGACATCAAAGTACAAACAAACAAAAAGTTCAATGGATTCTCAAATTCGCCAGAACTACCATCGCGACAGCGAGGCCGCCATCAACAAGATGGTCAACTTGGAGCTGTTTGCCTCTTACACCTACACCTCCATGGTAAGACATTTTTATTTATTTTTACTCTTTTACAGGTCATAGAAAACTTTACTGTGTTTGAGTTATGGCTCAGAAATTAACTTTATTTTAATATTAACAGATTTTTTTCTCCCAAACTTGCCCACTAATTTACATAAATCAAAAAAATCTACTATGAAGGCTGTTTGAACTAATTTTTGATCAGTGACTGTCAGTTTGCAAAAAAATAAACAAATAAAATTGATGACGATTATTTATTATAATCTGTACATTTTATAACAACCAAAGTAAGCTTTGAACAATCCTCCTGTCCCTTGTTGGGTGAAAAACCCTCCATTTAAACTGGATGTTACCAAAGACTATAGTGTGTATTTAAATCTTTTAAATACCAAAACATCATTTTATAAAACAAAGTAACTAATTCATGTTGTTGGTAAWATGTGACGAGTTGGGAGTGAGAATGTGTAGGAATTAACAGTACTGAAAAACTTTTAAGAAAAGCATATCAACAGTTTAAAATCGCAATGATCTCATTCTAGAAATCAAATCGTTTTACTTTTAGTCAAATCTTGACATCATGCACAATCAATGCGTTATTCTAAAATCTTGGAAGATCTGGTAGTTCTCAAACTGTGTTGGGGATGACTCTAAGGTACTATACACCAAATTCAAGTCAGTATCTGTAAAATTGACAAAGTAACCATTGCTGTGTTCAGTTGGCCATGGTGACAATCTTGAACTGGCATCAAAAGTTATTCATAGATATATATTCAGCAATTACCTTGGCAGCAGGATGGCTCTGGTTAGTGCTGATGTCTCTCAGCAAGAAGGTCCAGTCACTGGTTTGGAGATTTCTCCAGGTGCTGGCATGGGTTTACTCTGGGTGTCCTCCCATAGACCAAAAACATGTAAGCCTGGCCTTCTCTAGCAGAATAGGTCTCAATGGGATTTGCCTGGTTAAATATAAATATTTTCTGAAAGTTTCTTGGAATATCTGTTCAGAGCTTCCAATGGTTCATGAGGTACTTTGCTAACAAATATGCACACATACAGGCATAGACAAAACATTATCACCCCTCTGGAGCCTTCTGTGGAAGACAAAACAAGATTAAAATTTACCAGATTTATTGAATGGTACCATCTAGTGGTCTGATGTGTCACATCAACTGGCAGCAAAATGCATCTGTTAAAATCTGACAACTAAAATACTAACTGGATTTTTAACTAAGACATGATGTGTATGGTGTCATAATTTTTTCTTCTCACCTTGTCTCAACAGGCCTTCTACTTCTCCCGTGATGATGTGGCCCTTCCAGGTTTTGCTCATTTCTTCAAGGAGAACAGCGATGAGGAGAGGGAGCACGCTGAGAAACTGATGGAATTTCAGAACAAGAGGGGAGGACGCATCTTCCTCCAGGATATCAAGGTGAGCACAAACTGTAAAGCAAATCTTGTCACCCTTATAGTGTTGAAATATATCCCGGTTGAGAAATGAATGTTAAAAATGTGTTTGGGACCTTTTTGCAGAAACCTGAGCGGAATGAGTGGGGAAGTGGTCTGGAGGCCATGCAGAGTGCCCTGCAACTGGAGAAGAATGTCAACCAGGCCCTGCTGGATCTGCACAAACTGGCCTCTGACCGCACAGATCCTCATGTAAGCTACATTAGGAGTGTTGAGTGTCAAAAATACCACTTAAACTAAAACAATTGGTTTTCTCCAGTTAATTAATGATCTCCTGTTTTCAGCTGTGCGACTTCCTTGAGAGTCATTACCTGAATGAGCAGGTGGAGACCATCAAGAAGCTTGGAGATTACATCACTAACCTGACCAGCATGGATGCCAACACCAACAAGATGGCAGAGTACCTGTTTGACAAGCACTCTCTGGGGGGCAAGAGCTAAGAAGGACCTAGAAGAGAGCCTGAAATGGAAAATCTTAATGCATTAGCTAATTCTCCTATTTCAACTGTTGATTCACTTAACATTTTAAATAACCCTTCACCAATAATTTATCTGAAGTTGTGGTTTAATATTACAAGAGTGAATTCTTTATTTACGTAGGCTCTATTGTACTCTGTTATGGTCTGAATAATCTAAAATAAACAGAAGTAATGAACTGAACTTTAGTGTTTGTCTTAATACATTCTACATAGATGCTTCATAGATCTCCTGAGGAAAACGTTTTAATTTTATGTAGTGCTAGTTCCTGCTCTGGTTCTCCATTGGAAAATGTGGAGATGAAGGAGTCAAAAAGCAAAGCTTTCTATTCGCAGGTTCTGGTCCATTTATGATGGATTGTGACTAAATGAGTGCCCTGTTACATGTGGATGAAACGACAGTGGCTCAGCCTAAGACATAGTATAAGATTTGTCATTCAAGGGAAATTGAAATAAAGCTGCGTCTTCTCTCCATCGAAAGTAGTCAACTGAGGTGGGCCTCTGAGAGCTCTTCCTGGGTGCTTCTATCAGGAGGTATCAAGTGAAGACCCTGAGGCACACTCACTGGAGGGATTATACAGTGATTTGCAAAAGTATTCATACCCCTTGAACTTTTCCATATTTTGTCACATTACAACCACAAACATAAATATATTTCACTGGAATTTAATG